AAAACGTCAGTCTGGATTTGTATAACTGCTCCTAAATGAACATGAACGATAAAAAATCGCAGCAAGAACTTCATAGCCTTCTATAGGCACAGTGGGGTTTTAGTCTAAGTCTATGAACGGAGTAGGGCCTAGCGTTTCGCTAGGTGACGGATTCATGTTCATGTGGGATCGGTAGTTAGATAACACAATTCTCAAAGCTACTGATACGACATCCACTATTATATATACATTTAAAGGGGTACTATATCGCTCCTACAGTCATAACCGATTTGGAAGATTCGTCTCGTTGTATGCAGGAAGAGATTTTTGGTCCAGTTGTGTGTGTCACGGAATTTGAATCGACTGAAGTGAGTTTTATGTTGTGTTGGATTGATTTCGTGCATACAGTAGCATTTCAAGGTATTGCGCTGCACGACAGAGTTAAAATTTGATAAGCTTGGCAACTATTCCGTAAAAATCACTCCAAAATGAGAGCGGGGTAATTTGTCTAAACATTATTGACTGCGTTCCGGACAAGAGTTGTTCAATTCAGCTTAACACGATGGCAATTGGGCAATTTTGTGGAGTTAGGCCTTTGTCTGCCTTTCGGTGTGGATCTGACCAATTGGTCAAAAAGTGGTTAAATGAAGCCATTCCTATTCTTTTTGATGTTCGAAGCCATCGGTGCTTCATTTTTACAACACCTGATAAGGAATAACACATTGACGACAGCGTGACGCGGTAACGCGTCCCACTTTGCGCACCTCGTGGGACATTGTGACGCGGTAACGCGTCCCACCCAAGTCATCCCTTTTTCTTGCGCTTGCGCGACTTATTCTGGGGTTGCGGTACTACTTTGACTTGTTTTCATGGAAACGAGACAATAGAAGTAAAAGGACGTTAGGACGCCATATAAACATAGTGTATAGGGGACCTTATTCCAATTGAACTTCTCAGTGGAGTGGCGAGTGGTCGCTCTGAGGTAAGCATGTGCACTGAAAGAATGGCGGACCTCTGGTGTTATTTTCACTTGAAGACCTCAAATCGGGAAGCTCCTTTGTTTTGACCTCGGCATAGACCACACCTCGAGAGAGTTAAATTAAATCACGCCCCACAAATCCGGAACACGGGAAAGAAGCAATTTTAGATAGATCAGGCTCTGTCTGATGCTGCATTGACCTATGTGCACATTACACAATTGCACGATGTGGCTAAAAAAAAGAAGAGTACAGTTCCGAGGTGGATGGAAGGTGAAGTTAAAAAAAGAAACCGAAATTAAACTGAAAATTAGAGTCTCTTTTCTCGAGCTTCAAACAAGTACGACGAATAAACAACGAGTAGTGCGGTATCAGGATAGACGAGAGTGCGCAAAGAAGTCTGAGAAATCATAGCTAGACCGTTTTGTCCTAAGCAGCTATTACAGCGGCTTCCATAGGTGTTAAAAGATCTCAACGAGCTCAACGAGTTTGGTTACGCTTTGGAGCTATGGGAGCGGTACATGTTTTGCTTGTCGCCTGCCCTATCCTACAACCTGGGAACAATGTACCTGGCTCAGTCCTTACTTAACATCAGGTGGCGGTAATGGAAGTGGTGGAGATCCATGCTTGGTACCAGCAACCGGCGAGTCCTGCATGCACTCGCAAAAAACGGTCCCTCTAAGTGTACCTGTGGGCTGAGAAGGGTTTTTTAAAACCTATTTCTCAATTATTGATACCAATTTCGCCATGCATGTTGCACCTTTTTATGCTTGCGACTGTGAACCTTTTTGAACAGTCTACAAACGGGTCAGGTAGCTTGAAATGAAGTGAATTCAATTTGGGAACTTG